GTGTAATCTGTTTGAACAAAACACAAGGGAAACGATACTGTCTTGTCATTGTTAATGTGTTTTCAAAATGGGTTGAACTGTCTTCGAGCGCTCGCGATGATTCGGGAACTGTGAAAGCATTGGGAGAATTGTTGGACATTGATTTGAAGCGACACTGTGCGTACCACCTGCAATCGGTTGGATTTGTGGAACGCACTAACGGAACTGTCAAAGCCAGGCTCATTAAGACAATGAGAGAGACTAAAAGACTATTTGATCAGAAAGAGATGCATAGGCACAATGACTTGCCAGGGTGTTCTGCTCCACAGACTCGCCAGGTCCGGAGTGGTGATCAGAACTTCCTCAAGGTGCTGAAAAGACTTCTCTGGGACAGTGAACGCTGGAATGGCCCCTCCCAAGTGATTGCAGCAACAAAAACTGCGGTAAAGGGGGAAGGACGCGATGGCTGGATCCACCAGTCGCAGTACAAGCTCCTTTGGTTCAAGGTTGAGGGGCGTAGCGACGCCAGTCCCAGGAAGGAGAATCAGCACCTAAGTCCAAGTGCGCTGACCTTGCGTGCCGCCGAAAGACCACAGTGGGAGAGAGGGTTTTCCGTGGTAAACACACCCCTCTCAAGAAAGACCACAGGAAAGGCAGTCAAGCGTTGCCTATGGATCATCAGCATTGGCATCATCCTCATGGGCCTGAGAGCAATCACGGTGGGCACACAAGCCCACGAAAGGAGTGACTTGCCTCATGGGATTCGACGTCTGGAGGCAGGAGACGATTGTTGGTATATCTTTATTTTCCTGTTTTCGTGTCGCTTGCGGGATCCTGCTGGTCAGAGGCTGTGCTGCCAAATTCATGGATGCTATCAAAGTGAAGTGGCGGCTCAGCTGACAGTGGCCATGTCGGAGTACCAACAGGTGCACACGGATTCTGATGAAGATTATTTTAACAATGATTGTGACGATGATTGATTTACTGTAGCCTTATGTAAGCCTGTATGACGACTTCACAGAAAAGCATTGCAGATGTGAGTGTTTGATGTTCTTGGGTTGGCTTACTTTGTATATAGTAGTTAGTAGTTAGCAATGTGGCGGAACAGTGAGGGAAGCTTCCAGGAAGAGGACTCCTGAACCAGATGGGACTCATTGGCCGATTCTGGTAAAACATATTTGTTGAACAGGAAATGAGAAAAACAAAAACGTTCACAGGTTGCCCGGGTTGCACGAAATATGTTGTTAGAGGAATTTATGAGCAAAATTGTATCATGTTTAAAGTTTCATTTAATTTGGACACATCTAAACGTTTGGGCGCGTATCCAGCACTTCCAAATGCCTGTGCACAAAGGCGCCGGCCACCTGGCCGGAGGGCTGTTGAAGTCCACAATTAGCACGTCAATGCAGGTGGGCAATCACAGGGGAGGGGGCGAAACTCGGTCACAAAAGGGGAATGAATAATTTGGGAACAGCGGTTGAACAACAAAAGACGAGTTGAGAACACCCGTCGCGCCCAGGCGACATTTGTCGTCCGCGAAGTCTGCAACATGTTGATACAGTGTAGACCAGACAGAAAGGCGCCAATGTACCGGTGGTTCAAAGCTTAAACTCAGGTAACCAATCACTACCGAGGGGCCGGACCGGGGGTGCGGTATGCAAATGTCGGGGGCAGTGTTTTCCTTGTATGTTACAATAAAAGTCGGAATTGGCGGGAAGGGAGCTCGAGTGTGTGATCATCGGAGCAACTACCGTCGTTCGCTCTCAGAGATCCGCTCCCGCCGATATTGAAGACAATTTTCCTGTGTGCCGAGTCATTTCTTTAACTTTGTCCGAGAAAATCTATGACACACTCTCATGCTAATTTAAGGCCCTGGTCCAACCAATTTTTAAACCAAGTGTTTAGGAAGTGTGTTCCAAGTTTACCTTATCGGGGAGGTTAATGATGGGTTCCCCTGGTGGCCCATTGTATCCCAGCAGAGCTTGTAGGAAGTAGCGGCTACTCGCAGCGAGGATGGCCCTGTGCGCTCGTACCTCCCTGCCCTCCACCAACACAGTGACATCACACAGGATGCCCTGTCTCTGCTGCTCCTCAAGACTTAACAACACATTGGCACAGTGGACTTTGGACTCGTACACGTATACAGGCACTACTGCCTCACCCTCCTGCTCGTCGCCTGCCGACATCACTTCCAGTCGCAACCTGGACAAAAGAAACCAGAAGAAAAGGCGTTAATAAGAATTTTTGTTGTTGTAGATTTTTTTTGTCTTGTCTTCCCGAATTAAAGGAAATCATACACATTGTACTTCACTCGTACTGATTGCGGGAGTTTATTAGTGTGTTACTAGACTCATGAAATAAAGGTAAATGCATTTTGTCACGTACAATATAGAATGTACAGTGAAATTGAAGTGCAATTCAGTCATCACCGGTGAGTAGTGGACAGGCACGATTTTTGGGAACCTTGGTCATAGCTACTGGTTTGGAGAGGCACTGTATTTATATCCTGTAAATCAGTGGTCCCCAACCTCCGGGCCACACAGCAAGAATAAATAACTTGCATGACTTCCAAAAGATGTTTTATTTTCAAAAATTGCGGGATTGTCCGTTACATCTGTCTACAGTATCTCACTCTTGACGTAGGTCAAGGCGTGCTTCTCGGTTATCGCTGAAATGAAACCCAGGAGCCAGAAAAATAAGTAAAAAAACAAACATCTTTGGAAAGGGTTTTTTTTTGGGGTGGGGGGGGGCAGCCAGGAGACAGAAGAGGAGCCTACGACTTTCAAGAAAAAGAAGGCTACATTTCATAGAGAGTGTCAGGAGTCTACTTTGAACACGGATTTATCTCAACCGGAGGTCCCCACGCACCAAGGCCACTCTGCATAATATGCGGCGATGGTGAGTCATATTTTTCATGCCCTTTGTATTTGCGGTGTATCTTGTTTTCAAGGCACATTTAAATGTTACCCTAGCGACCAGAGTGTTGCGGCCAGAGACGACGTTACTTGTGTCATGATTGGTGTTTATTATTAAGTTTAGAAAATACCAGTTTTCATGCAGGTCATATCCTATTATTTTGTTGTATTCATCTGACAAACCTTAAAGGCCGGACCTTGCTAATATTGTCTGACATTAATCCGGTCTATGGGGCAAAAAAGGTTGGGGACTGATGCTGTAAATCATTGAACGGTTTGGGTCCTGAATACATCAAAGAAATGCTGATTGACTATAAACCCAGAAGGGGTCCGAGATCTGCAGACTTGGGTCAATCAGTGAAGCCCAGAGTAAACACGGTGACGCTACATTTAGTTGTTACGCTGCACTTACAGGAATAAGCTGCCAAGAGAAATGAAGTCAAGTGTAATTGCTTTTAAAAGCTGATTTAAAATCTTTGCTTTTATGCTTTACCTTTTACTTAACTCAACTCTCTACTCAACTGTATTTGTAGAGCACTTTCAAACAGCCATCGCAGCATACAAAGTGCTGTACATGGAGCAACTAACATATATACAACAATAAAGCAATAAATCAGTAACAAAGATGGTAGAAGGCACCAAACAGTAACACTAAGATCAAATCTGAGTCTGATTAAGGACTTACATTCATTTTAAAAATCTTTTTTTTCTTTTTTTAGTTTTAAAATGCTTGAAATGTTTTTAAAGGTTTCTGTTAATGTGTTTAAATTTTCTCTTCATAATTTTGGTAAACTTCTTTGTTTTTTGTGCTAAGCTTCTGAATGTCGTCAACTGTTCTGTTTGTAAATGCTTTTAGGTGTTGTGTCTTTTCTTGTGTGAAGGAGATTCTGTTGTCTTGTGTATGACTATTCACCAACAGGTTCAAACAGAGGTGCTTATTCGCCGTAACGAATCTATGGTTATGTGAGCTCATGAATCCGCTATATGCGGAACGTCACGTAACCAACCACTAAAAACAGGTTAGCAGACTTCTTCTATATGCCATAATAACGAGTATAAAAACGCATCGATGACATGATGGTTGGAACCAACTGGCTGAGATTTTGTTTTCTTTATGGCTTGTGTCGTTGAACAAAAGTTTCAGTGTATCCATGGATATAATTTATGTATGCAATGATGACATGTACACAGGATTGTATATGGCGGCACAGTGGTCGACTGGTTAACATGTCTGCCTTCCTGTGTGGAGTTTGCATTTTCCACATTAAGCTTTTTCTCTCCAGTGAACAACTATAGTGAGGAAAAAGCTTAATGCCTATAAAATCCAAAATATTGTGGCGATTGCTTGGATATTTTCAGAGGTTGAAGTGGGCAACGGTGGATATGTGCCTGTGAATTCTGGCGGCAATTGTTCGTTAAGTCAGGTTAAGCTTTTTTTTTTTTTGCATGCACATTAAGTGTTTGAGATGTCCCTCACTCAGCAAGGGCAGAATCACACAAGACATCGCAAAACAGCGTATTCAAGGCACGTTCATAAAGTTGGAAACAGTGTCGCTGTGCTTTTGAGGGTATTCGATTGTTCTTTGTTTATGTTTTTCTCGTCATCATCAATCATAATTTTAGGTCACTGAAATTTGAGACATCCACAGATGGGTTAAGGTGGTCACACACACGCGCGCACACGCTGAATTATTCATCACAGAAATAAAATGTCCAAAAGCAGAACAGCATGTATCTAGTGCACATGCACATGTAATAAATTAATAAAGACTGAGAAATAACTCACCAGCTTCACTCTGTCTGTAAACTGTATATGGATGGGGCATGTTCATTTTTTTTTTTTTTTTCTATGTCCTACTTTTTTTCCATCTCTGGCCCGATTATGTCTTACTTTCATCTCGGATATATTTGGTGTATACTATTTATTGCTCATGTGTGCTTGGCAGAGCACATGTATGTCTAAGTATTTACGAAAACTGCATGTGCACTCTGTGGCAAAGCCAGGGGACACCAAAAAGTGGTGTCGCTCCCTCTGGAACATCAGTGGCTTCGCCCTAGGAAATGTTTAGATTAATTGATTTATATCATGACAGGGGATGGGGTGGAAGGCTACTTGGGAAAGGCAAGTACCAGGGGCGTCACTAGGCTTCAAGAACAAGGGGGGCTTAGCCCCAAGGGGAACACAACCCCTTTGGGGGGGTCCGGGGGCATGCCCCCCCGGGAGAATTTTTTCTACATTCTGTTAAAAATCCATCAATTCCGTGCACTTTGAGAGCAAAATGAAGATGCTATGAAGAACTACACACATCACATTAGTATCCTCTTTACTATGATGGGGCTTCCTCCCCTGGACTTTAACTGGACTAGATAATAGAAATTATAAAGAGTTCAAAAGTTCAATCTTGGTTGTTCAAGGGAATTAGAAGGATGCCCGATAACATAACCTATATGACAGTAGGCCTATATTCCTCTCTACCAAAATGTATTAATATATGCTTAGCCCCCAGAAGACTATGTATTTTGAGATGTCTGCCGTGATATGCAATTTAAGTTAGTACAATGAGATGCAAAAGCTTCATCACTTTGGAAAAACACAACGCTGTTTACTTACTGTAAGCTCCGATTGCATTTTGGGAACAGCCTTGCAAGTAAAATTAGCCTTACAGACGCATGCGCGACGCCACAGTTGTGCTCACAGCTTCAGTCCAGGAGAGCTGCACACAGACAATTAGACAAGACGAATCGCGGGAGGTTTCGATTGTGTGCAGTTTTGCTCCCGTCTACCCGGGGATCTTTGCAGCTGTTTAACAGCAGAACACCGCAACATGGTAAACGAACATCACAATGGCGTCCTCAATAATATTTGCATGCCTCAAACATTGCATTCACCTTTAGTGGAAGAACAGCACTGCACATTCCTGTGCTCCCTTGTGTCAGTTTTTAAAATGGTTCTTAACTCCTCTTCTGATATACTGTATTTTTCAGTGATTTCAGAGGGGATGTGAAAAGGGGAATTGTACAAATGAAAAGGATATTTTTGTTTTCATGTTTAGTATTTATTTTGGTAAAATTAGTATTTTGTTCAATTGTTTTGTTAAATTAAGGGAAAAAAAGACAACTACTGTTTAACAAAGTTAAAGTAAAAATTGTCTTATTTCCCTAAAAGGGCTATTTCTATTATTAAGCAGGCACAACTTAACAAAATAAAAGAGTTCCTGTGCCTCAACACAATACCTCTCATTATTTGCTGTGTACTGGCAAAGTGAATAATTGTTATTTTCATGCACCCCATTATTGGTTGGTTGTGAGGAGTGTTGATTTGTATAAGCTTGGCTTGAGATGTCTGCCGTGATATGAAATTTAAGTTAGTACAATGAGATGCAAAAGCTTCATCACTTTGGAAAAACAAAAGTTGGCTGCTCAATACTTACTGTAAGCTCCGATTGCATTTTGGGAACAGCCTTGCAAGTAAAATTAGCCTTGAGATCTGATAGACTCACCTGTCCAGCAGAGCTCCCCCCGGCTCACTCTCTGTGCGTCTTTAGCCTGATTCCTATCAAATAAATAAATTGATTTTATATTTATTTTTTTATTTTATATAGGCCAAAATCTCAATAGGTGTTGCCTCAAAGAGTTGGTGTAATGATTATTTATGTATTTAATTATAAAATGTTGCTTAATTTTTATTAAGCACCACCTTAATTTATCCAAAAGTGAACACTTGTTACAGTGCAGTTTCTGCTGTTACTGGAGATATTTTAGCGGACTATAGTCACTAGTTTTACCAGCATGGATGCATTGAATACTTAATTTACCTTTCTAAAAAACTGTCGAATATCCATGCTGTCGACTCAACCTGACTTTCGGCAATGAACTGTCAGTTGTTGCGTTAGCATTTGATGTGGCGATGGTGACAGACACGTCAAATGCTAACGCAACACCTGTTGCGTTCAGGAAACCTGGGAGATTTAACATTACAATAATGGCAGGTTATCGAAACATAATTTAAAATGGCCACATTACATTGAATTTGATGCAATATATTAGCAAAAGTACAGGAAAAATAAATACGTTTTTTTAAATAATGCAATGAAATTATTTAGGGGGGCTAAAGGCATTTTTAGGGAGGCTGAAGCCTCCCTAAAATAGGCCTAATGACGCCCATGGCAAGTACCATTTGGTGTGCTCTGCATGGTACTGTACCATGCGAACATACGGACCGTGGTTTTTCAGTCTTTGCACTGACGCTTTGTATGTGCTCTTTGCCTGTTGTGCGTTTGCCCAGTT